TTCAAATTTACAAAAAGTATTATGAAATAGAATAAAATAAAATAAATAAGCCTAAACATAAAGCAAATAATTTTATTGAATAGGTAGTAGAGTATATAAAAGAAATAATAATAAAATAATAGAATTTTGTTTTACGTTTAATAAAGTTTCCTGATTGAATATTGATTCTAAATCGTTAGTAATATGTTATAGTTTAACTTTCAGTTGATTTTATAATCAATTTAAAGAAATTAAGAGGAATGAAAGTACATATTGATCTTTGTAGATTTTTATGTAAATTTAGTGAAATATATATAGAGTTCACTAAATACACTTAAAGAACCTTTAAACGGCGGCCATTTTTTGGGAACGTTGAACAAAATCGCAAACAAAACAAACTCCAAGTAATGGCTACTTTCAACAACGACCATTTTTCCTGTTGTTGTCAGTGACCGTTGTTCAGAGTTTGACTGTATATAATTTTTTCTTAATTAAATTTTTACCTTATTTATTTTTTTCAAGAAAATATATTTAAAATTTAAATTTTTATTTCTATTCTATATAACAAAAAAATATATAACAGAAAACTAAATTTTTCATAAACTAAAATTTATATCTTAAAGTATATTGAATATTGCTATTTTATATATATGAAATATATTTATAACGACAGAAACATGTTTTATCTGTAAAATCACAAAATCGAATAATTCAGAAATATATTAAACTACTTTTAAAAAAAAACTTATCAATTAATCGACAACATTTTACGTTTGCCATAAAATATAATACTATAAGAATTATTAATACAATAAAATTTAATAAAATAAATTATAATAGGCCTACTGTTTACTATAAATCACAATAACACTTGAAATTTAAAAGCATCTAATCTAATTCAAAATAATAATAATAATAATTCCTAAGTAAATTTTTCTTTGTAAGAGTTTTTATATTTAAGAAATGACTTTATTTATGTATATATTTTATATAATTAAAAATTTTATTTTTCTAAATAAAAGCCAAATCGATAAAACATTTGAAAAAATAGAAAAAAATTGTCTAGACAAATTCTGAAACTTATTTTGATTCACTTAATTAAATCGGATTAAATATACAATTCCATCCGATTAAACTCGAAGTATTTTTATCTTAATTTTATATATATTTCTTCAGCCATTCAGTTTTATTTTATAAAATTATCTATAAGAATATTTAAAAAGAGAATAGAAATATTTTATTTTGTAAAACCAATTATCGTGTGTCTATTATTAAACACCTCAAAATGATAAAATACGAATGCTCATAAGTTAAATTCCTACGACTAAAATCTTTCAGTTATTTTCACTAAATTTAGATTAAATTTCTGAAAATTTAATTTGGAAATATGTTACATATTGATATTTTAAAATAGAATACTCACAAATATATAATTAAAACAGAATATTTTATAATAGGTTTTTTCTGTTCTAATTATATATTTGTTAATATTTTTGAATGCCAACGATATTCACAAATATAAAAAGAAAAAGAAAGTAGATTTAAAAAAAAAACAGCAAAGTTTTCCAGTTTTATATTTTTAACAAATATATTTACTAAAAAATTTCCATTAAAAACTTTGCAAGTTGGCAGTTTATATCACATATTATTATTAAAATTATGTAAAGGCTATAAAATGAATTGTGTTATTACAAATGTATTCTTACAGAAATTCTACTATAGTTTACTTCCTAAATATTAAAGATAAAACTATTGTTTGAGACTTTGTTTCGTTTATCTCTTTTGCTGATGTCGCAAATGAATAGGTTGATGATACAACTTGAAGATAATTCGAAGTTTATAGATTAACTTCTATCTCTTTTGCCACGAGGAGGAAAATAATCTTGTTGTAGTATCTCATTAGCCTTCAAGCAACATGAATTGTGAATTTTAAAGGAAGGCTATAATTTAAAGTTTAGAATTCTGAGAACCCATTACATAAAACAAGTTGTAAATAAAGGTGTCTTCGAGTCAGAAAAGAAAATTTAATTAATTTTTGTTGTACTTTAGTAAGTTATATTGACTTTTATGATTTTTAAAATATAGTTAAAAATAAGATACTGCAAATTTAAAGTTTCACCTTAATTTTAAGTTCTTTTTCTGTTTATAAAGCTGTTTAATATTTTTAGGCTTACTTAATCTTTGCAGTGTTTTTTATTCGAATTTATTTAGACTTAAATAAGAACTTAAGAATATATCTATATTTTTTTATATAATTTGAGTATTATGCTATTTATCGAATAATTCTCATAAAATTTTTTATATATGAACGTTTATTATAGAATTTTGGTTTGAATAATTATTTCAAATTAATTCTTTAATATTATCATTAATTTTTTATTCTAGAACAGAGATAGACTATAACATTAAATTTCTGGGGAATTATTTTAAAACCCAAATTAGTTAACTGGAATTTTTTAATAATAATAAAATTGACATTTAGAATTGTTACAAATAGTACTAATATAATAATCATCCATAATCTCAGTTTTATTTTCGATTTTACTTTCCCGACTTTCAGGGTCGTGCGGTAGATTTTCTAAGTATGATGCAAATCTTCGAAATGCCGCCCCTTATATGTTTTTTTGCCGCCCCTTATATAAATTATTAGTCTTATATAGGCTATAATTCTTATTATTTGGTGTATCTTACCAGGGCCGTGCGGTAGATTTTCTAAGTATGATGCAAGTCTTTGAAATTCTACCCCTTAAATGTTTTTTATGCCGCTCCCTCACAGTGCCGCCTGATGCGGCCGCATCTCTGCATCATAGCACGGCACGGCCCTGCCGACTTTGTTATATACTGATAACAAAGGGAAAGTAGGGCGATCGGTCAAAAAATTATCTCCCCAAGAATTTTACATTTTTGGACTCTGGATCTGGAAATGTCAAGAAATACAAAAAAAAAAAAAAAAAAATCAGGGATTTTTCTGTATGTATGGATATTAGTGTGTATGTGTTTGTATGTTTGTTTGTGTATGGAAGGCACGATTTTGTTCACCCTCTTTGAAGCTTGCTAACTCCTATGCTTTCTGTCGAAAATTTCTGAAATTTGGTAGGGAGGTTTGCATATTAGGGAATTGGTGCTATTAAAGTTTAGTGATTAAAGGTCGAGAGGTGAGGAGATAAAGTGAATCGTGTTTATCTCCAGTAGGGTCAGATTTTATGATAATTTTACTCGTTATTAGAATTTATAATTATTTTTAATTTATAAAACTCATCTCTACCCACAAAATTAAGATTTTTGCTATTTATAATAATTAAAAATATAAAGTATTTTAAATAAAGTACTGTATCATAACAAATGGCGCCACATGCAGTTTTAAATGTTGCTGTTAAGCAAGTCGTTGCTGGAATTTTTAAGTAATAAAGTCTCAAATTTTATAAAATTAGTTTTGAATAGGTAAACAATGCGATTATGCGATTAGTTTTAAAAAATAATAAAAGTCATTTATTTTATTCGTGGATATTCATTTTTCCAAATGAATACCATAATAATAAATAATAAAAGGAATGAATACATGGAAAAAATGAATACATGTGAAAAAATGAAAAAGGAGGAATACAAAATATTTATATAATCAAGGGAGGTTTTTAATTTTTTTCACGCTGTTGACAGGGTCGTAAAGTATTTCAAGCCCCATCGTAAGTTGAATCAGGCCCCTGTGTCATATTGGATTCAGCCTTTGCCATCCGATTAGGTAATCTGGAGAGATTATAATGAACAGGTCCCTCAAATGTGCTCAAAAACCGTTCGTTAGAATGAAGCTTATTAAGAGATTTTATAAGCCATAATTTACATTGGGATTCTTCTTGTCCTGATCCGAATATCACTTTTACGACTCCTGCGATGTATTTTCCTTGACTCTGTATTAGTCTTTCTTTTTTCATCTCAATTATCTTTTTTATTCTCATCTCATTCTTTCTTGAACTTGGATGTTCTGACCAGACAGGCAGTGCTCTGCGGAACCTGGCGGCACTTTTGTGCCATCAAATAAAAATAGTAATAGTAGGATGTTCTAACCAACCAAATATTCAAAATTCTATCTTGATCAGGAAGGGATCAAGTTCAAAATGCTACCTGATAGTGAGATGCTCTACAAGTATCATCTCAAACTTCGGATCCAATGAAAAGCGTTGACCTTTCACCATCTCCTTTAACTTTAGGAACAATCAGAAGTCCGATAGTACCAAACAAAATCAAGTATGTAACTATCCGCTGGTTTTTAAACGTCTTCGTTGTTTCTTCACTGCACTGCGGTTTTGAATTATCATGATGCAAGAAAAAGATAGTATCGTACTTCCCGATCTTACTCTTGAGTGTTGATGTTTGGCAATATTTCTCCGAATCGATATTTCTCACTTTTCCAGATATTCTTACTCCATGTACACAACTTTTTTTCATCTCAAACTTGTCAGTATGACCTGAGCAGAAAACAAATAGTTTTTAACTTTTTAACAGGAGAAGAATGAGGGTCTTGACTCTACTATTTCCTGTATCATAATAATAAGACTAAATACTCGTAGTTATAGAAATGGTGATAATCATATATTTCTACTCCACACTTTACGGAATGTTGGTATGTGAAACGTGGGGATTTATTTTTTATATTTTTTGTTTTATTTATTTATGCATACTGATTTCACCCATGATTCGAGGAATACAAACGTATACAAATTACAAAAATCAATACACAACAGTAAGAAAACCCCACAGTAATACTATACTTAATGAATTGTTACAGAATATACATAAATAATACAAAGTTTATAAAACCGTCAATAAATAATAAACTAAACAAAATGCCAACATAATCAAAATAATCGAAATCATTGGGTAAACCATCCAAAAAAAAATAATAATAAGTTATATATTAAATAATGTGTGCATTTATCAATAGGCGAAGAAAGGGAGACGAAAGCCTTACTCAAAATACCTATGAAAAAAATCTCTACGATCCCGAGAGGATTCGAATTCAGGTCCCTCACGACAGCAAAATATATCTTCATCGCTCAACGCTTCTTTATTTATCTGTAGGAAGAAATATGGAATCAATATGTCATCACATGAAATATCTTACGCAATCAATATATATACTCTCTTTCTTCAACATAATATTGAAATAATATAATCAATCAATAAATAAAATATCGTCAATATACAAGTAATAATTTCATAATTATTAAATGTTTACTTTAACATTAAGTCAGATAACAGAATTTAATAAAAATACTTTAAATTAGTTATTGAAAACGAAATAATTGAACAAGTAATTGCAAAAATAAAAATAGCAGCAATGAGCAAGCATTTTTTAAACTTAATTAAATGTAATCAATGAAAACTGTATATGTAAATTATATGTATAAAGGGGCATGTAAAATTTATATTTCTACTCAATTTAATTAATGAATATTTAATTTTATAACCAAAATACATTGCTTATATTCATATGATTTTTTTTCGGGGGTGTGAGCTGCGCGTCTAGCGTGCGAGTGAACTTTTGAGAGGTGCTGTGACTCGATAAATTCGAATACAGAAACGACATTATAGAAGGAAAAATGAATTATGTAAAGATTTGGGAATGTGCTAACAGGTCGCCCTTGGATTTAATTGTACTATTATTAATTATTGCTGGAGTTGAACCTAATCCAGGACCGCTGTCCCGTTCCCCACAACGAAAAAAGTCATTTGGAAATGCAAAACGGGGCGGGTAGACCTCGCAAGGAAAGTTCCAAGGACGAAGAGAAAGAGAATCAATTAGTAGATATTTCAGGTGAGGAATATTATCAAATAGAAGGAAATAGTCAACAACTAGCTGAGTCAGTGAAGAATCCGAAAATTCACGATTACTTCGAATCAGGGAATGAGTCAGAATCACAAGTTATAGACGAATCTCAATATACTTTAAAATCTATTCATGACCTAATCCAGGATAAATTTAGTCAGCTAAATATTGAGATTCAATCGATTAAATTAGAAGTAAATGCGTTGAAAGAAGAGCACGAGAGTTACAAAGAAGAAATGAAATAAATTAACCAAAGAATACAAAAATTGGACGAAAAATCGGAAAATAATGATTATCTCAAAGATATGTTTGAATTTGAATTAGATAAACTGGTAAACGAGAAAAATAAAAAGAATATAATAATTATAAACTTTCCATTTAAATCATTGGATTATATGCAAGAAATTAATCAATTCATTAATAACGAGTTAAATTTAAAAAATAATGAAATCGAAGGACTAATTAAACTAAATAATAGAGAGGAAAAAACCTACTGTTAAAATAATTCTTGAATCTGTTAATACAAGAAATAAAATTCTTAGAGAATTTTGGCGAGTAAAATCAAACTTAGTTGATAAGGAAATGCGAAAAATAATAATAACAGCCGATTTATGCAGACCGTCGAGGCTAAGAAGGAAACACTTACAGAGTAGGATTAAACAGGAAAAATTGAACAAGAATAAAAATATAATTAGAGATGATTATTATATAAAAGACAATTTAATAAGTTATATACGTATGACATTAATGCAGATAAGATTATTCAAATAAATATTTTTTAGGAGGAATTTGATGATAGATCTAGATGAGGAAGGTACAAAAAGATGTAATAGTCTTAATACTGAGATACCACCATCTCTCTATCATACCAACAATGATAGAGAGAATTTTTTTATAAGTTTCTGGAACATTCAGGGATTGCGGGGAAAATTGTATAGTGAGCCAGTTAAAAACTACATAAAATCTCATTCTATAATTGGACTCACAGAGACATGGTTGGTTAAAATGAGTAAAGAGGACAAAAAATATCTAGCACGGGAGAATATGATGTAATTAAGCGGAGCTCAGAGAAAAAGTAGAATGGGCCGTCCATTGGGTGGTCTGGTACTGATAATCAAGAGAAACGTTGGAAAGCTTTTTAATTATTGTATAACAGACAATTTTATTCTTGTGGTGATAGAACTGGATCCAAGAGGTAAATTATGCTGGGGAGAACTATATTTGGGAATTATATTAATCTATTTGTCCCCTTCCTCAGATAAAAAGTTTATATTAAACGAAGTTCAAAGAAACATCGATCAGTGGTCAAGTGTTGTAAATCTATAGATAATGTGTGGGGATTTCAATGCACGGATTGGAGAGGTATTGGACACAAAATGCATACAAAAAAAAAGTACAAACATTATTAATAGGAGAGCATCCAAAGACAAAATAGTAAATATTGAAGGTAGAATTCTTTTAGATTTTGTGCAGGAAAGTGAGTTTTTAATATTAAATGGTAGAACCACGGATGATATCCCCGCTGAGTATTCCTTTGTATCTCCATTGGGAAAGTCAACAATTGACTATTAAATATGTTCCGAAGTTATTCACTAGATCAATGTCAGAGGATTTCTGTATTAGACATAGATGTGTCAGATCATTTTCTGATCTGTCTAGAATTGAGAGGAAACGTAACGATCGATTTAATAAATTTAAATTTATTAAAGAAATATCTGATAATATCGATGACTTATTGATTCATGAAAGAGAGGACAAGCCGATCGATAATTATAACCTTTATTTAATAACAATTTTAGACAGTTACCGTTTTAAGAGAAGTACAGGAATAAATCTGGCCAAATACAAACATAAATGGTTTGATAATAAGTGTTATTTCTATAAGCTAAAAAAGCAAAAAAAACCTACAAAGATTTAGAAAAGTAAATACTGAAGAATCGCTGAAGAAGAATTTAGATAGTAAGAAAGTATATAATAACCTAGTGAAGGCGAAGAAGAAAAAATATTTTCTAGAGATCAGTGTCAAATTGACTAAGGCCAAAGACACAAAAGTTTTTTGGACTATAGTCAATGATTTTCGAGTTACTAAGTCAGTATATAGAGAAACAATTCAAGTGCCTTATAGCGGCTGGCTTCATTATTTTGGAATCTTCTCAGAAGAATACAAGAGCAAAGGTTGCTTATGGATTAAAGACATAATTACACCACAAGGTAACTTCTTAGAGGAGGAAATTAAAGCTGAAGAAGTGCAGTATTGTATAAAGAAGCTAAAGGAGAACTCTGTGCCAGGGTCTGACTCAATTCCCAATTTTATAATTAAGAACTTTCCAATAGAAATGGTCAACTTTTTATCTAGACAGTTTAGTGGGTTTTATAAGCAAGGAGTTGTACCATATAATTGGAACGAGGTAATATTTACCATGTTATACAAACACGGTGAAAGGTCAATACCAACTAATTATCGTCCGATTGCATTATTATCTGGATTACGTAAAGTGTTTACAGCAGTTTTGTCATTAAAGTTTAATAATTGGTTGGATAAAAATAATTACAAGAATGAAACCCAATATGCTTTCACTAAAAACGGTGGCACCCAATTGGCTCTCTGTATATTAGTACAATTGTTCGGTTACAGCTAATAAAAAAAAAAAGACAGAAGGTTTTTGCTCTGTTTTTAGACCTAGAAAAGGCATATGATTCTGTAAGTATTGCAGACTTACAAATAAAATTGAGATACTATCAAGCAGATGAATGTTTAACGAATATTATAGGAGTGCCATTCGGTCAATATAAAATTACAATTAAACAAGATCATACTCAGTGGCCGTCATTTGATTCAAGTAGACTGTTATTGCAAGGCGACCCTTGGTCTCCACAGTCTAAGGATAAAGTCAATAACTCGATAAGAAATGGCCAGAATTACAAACTCATAGAGGACTCCTTCAAGGCGACCCTTGGTCTCCCCACATATTTAATTTTTACACATTTGATATAAACAATTGTTTTGTGAATGAAGACGACGGGTTCCTAATAGATAATCAATTGATTCATTCGATATCTTATGCGGATGATATAGTAATTATTGCTCCAACGGCTGCGGCTTTACGAAGGAAGATCCAATCGGTGAAGAATTATTTTGATGAGTTGAAATTGAAAATAAATCTGAAGAAATCTGAAGTTATGATATTTAGGAACGGAGCTAACTTACCGAAGAAACACATGCGTTTTTTCATTGATAAAGAAGAATTGAGAGTAGTGCAAGAAACAAAATACTTGGGTATCATTTTAACACCAAACTTATCTTTTGGTAAACAGTATAAAAAGTCCGCTAATGAAGCAAATAGGTTGTTAAATAATTTGGTAAGATTATTTTCTAAGGCTAAAATAAAGAATATTCAAGTTCACTTCCGTTTGTTTAACTCTATTATCATGAACTCAATTGGTTACGCAGTCCCAATTTGGAGTCTTAGTCACTGTTAAAAATTGGAAATAATTCAGAACAAGTTTATACGCAGAATTTTCTTTTTGAAATATAATATACCAGGCAGTGTGATCAGATTAGAGTTGGGAGGTATAAATTAAGTGCAACCTTAATAAAGAGATATATGAAATTTCTATTTAAATTAAGAGACACAGGTAATTTATCAACGATATTGTTATATCGATTATACCGGAAATCATTGGTGAAAGAGCATGGTAGGAATTGGGTGACACAATTATTAAAAATATTGAACCATTTTGGTTATTCTATAAAAATATTCCTGGATTTACCTGAGATAAGTGAACAAGATTGTCATCAATTAATACAAAATGTTTTAGAAATTTCGCTATCACAGGATATTGAAGATTTACATAATAGAGAGAAACCTGATTGGTTAAATATAATTCTGGAGTATCCATTTAATAACAATTATATGTTAACAAATCTGGCTTTTAATGTAAAAAGATTTTTTGTGCAACTCAGACTAANTTTCAAACAAAACACTCTTCAAAGACTGATTTATTATTTTTGTCATTATTAAATATATCTCATAACAATTATTAACAAAATATAAAAAAAACTGCACAAAATATATATTTATTAAATTAGCTAACATGACAAAAATGATAATTATATATTATTTAGTATTATGCTGGTTTTTCCATGCGTGTTGTTATCATTTGTTCCATTGTCAAAGATATGAAGATTTGGAATAATTACCAATTTATTTTGGTTGAAAATAGTAATTTTCTTAAAAAAACTTTT